GGTCGGCCACGACCATCCCTCGCGCCGCGCCGCCCACCGCTTACGCGGAGCTTGTCTGGAGCCGCCGACGTTTTCCTGCCGTGGGTCCCAAGATTTGCGCGCGTATTAGTGTGTGCGCGCAGCTTTCGTTGTGAGACAGCTTGTTTCGGACCCTTGGAGAGGTCTCGCTGGGCAGCGTAGGCTGCGAGGCAGCCCGACGGGCAGCGGGACATGGACGCTCGGAGAAAAAAAGAAATGGGGGTCGGCCAGAGCGCCCGATCTTGCAGGATCCTGCGGGGCCAGGGTCGCATCGACCCGGGCTTGGGCGCAGAATCCTGCAGGATCCTGCGCACTGGCCCGGGTTCGGGTGCAGGGTCTTGCAGGATTCTGCAGGAGTTGGCTGACCCGGGTCTGGATTGACCCGGGTCATGAGCTCCCTGAGGACCTCCGAGATGTAGTGAGTCTGTGCCGCTCGTTGTTCCTCCACGTTCGGGATTCGTTTCTCCTCATTCCTTCTTCCTCGTTCATCATCATGCCTCATTCCTGTCCTCCCTTCCCCCTTCCTCATTCCTCCTTTCTCCTTCTCCTCCTCCTCATCATCCTCCTCGTTCCTCCTTCCCGAGGCGGCGCGAACATGACCGAGCTTCGCGCATCGCGGCCAGGCCCGGAGACTGCTGGAGACGCGCCCTTTTCCAGGGCGGTGGCGCGAGGACGTGAAGGTGCGGCAGCGCGTCGCGAGGCGCGGAGCCCGCGGAGTGGGGTGGCCGAGCTCCGTCCTCGCCTCGGGGCGGCACACCACCGCGGGGCGGTGGCCGCGAGCCGCGAGCGTTCGGGCGAGGAGGTCCAGGTTCTGCCCCCTGCGCTGAGTCGCATGGTGCTTCGCGATTTTTGATTCTATACATATATATATACATAGAAATAACACAGGACCAGAGAGAGAGAGAGAGAGACATCAGAGAAAGAGAGAGAGAGAGGGCGAGAGAGAGAGAGAGATAATTATAAACACACAAAAGGAGAAGGACGGACCTCAAGGAGTGTCAACTCGCGGCTCGATACTCGGGAACGCCCAACCGTGGCTCATAGTTGCGATATTGTAGACCCAGGGCTTATTGGGAGTGTTGGACCCATGTCGATGGCTTCCTGAGAACAATGGACGTCGGTCAACTACCCCCCCAAAGAGTCATGGACTGGGGTTCGTTATCCGGGAACGACCACATTGACAGGGGGGCATATAGGTCGCTCATTTCCCCAAGAGTACGGATCTCGGTTCACCGAAGACGCCTACGGCGCACCACCTCCGCCAATTTGCCTTTCTGGAGCCACCTATGTGGCCAAACGTTGGTGTTGGGCCAAATTCTGGCCAAACTATTCGACGATGTGGTTCCCGAGCCGTTGTGCAACCCGCTGGTGAAACATTTGAGGGGAGGGAGGGAGGAGACGGAGGAGGAGGAGGAGGAGGAAAAAAGGAGGGAGGAAGAGAGGAGGGAGGAAGAGAGAGAGAGGAGGAATAAGAGGAGGAAGGAGGAGGAGAGAGGAAGAGGGAGGAGGAGGAGGAGGAGGAGTGTCAGTGTCAAGGTGTCAAGGTGTCAAGGTGTCAAGGTGTCTAGCATCGCTCTCTCGCGCCCTGCGGTGGCTCCTTGAACTTGTGGGGAATCTACAAACTTTGAGGCATGCCAGCGCGATGGTCCTCTTAGCGTAACAACGCCCGGTGGGGCGGTGGCGCTCGCGCAGGTGGCGGCTCTTCGTGGTGCTGTACGCTGTGTGGCACGCGGTCCTGGTCAACCTGCTCGCAGTGCCGATGGTGCCAGGCCCCGAAGTCGTACGTGCAAGCAGTGGCTACGTGGCCTCCACTGCCGCCGTCTGCGCCTGGAACAGTGGTCGGCCTTGCTCCGTCTACGGTTTCCACTCCTACCTCACCAGCCTCTCCACCCCCGGCTGCGCAGGCGCCGGCGATGGTCTACGTCGATGTGGACTCCGAGCCGTCCCAGAAGCAGATCCGGGACCAGCTCAGCGCCTTCATGAAGTCCCGGGGACCGCTCGCGATGATCAACAGCCCGGCCCTGGCGGTCATCGACGCGCAGATCGCGGAGAAAATGGCGTCCTTGTACGCGTCCCGGCCGCCGGGCCAGCAGCTCGACGGTCTCCGGCAGGTGATCACCCGGGCGGAGAAGCGCCTCCAGCAGGCCCACGAGGACATGCAGGCAGCTCAGGAGAGGATCAATGCGGAGCAGGCCGCCTTGACGGCCCACCGGGCGGACCTCATGGAGCTCACGAAGAACACCTACGTGGTCGACCAGCCGACGACCGAGGGAGGGCCCCCGGGTTGGCTGAAACAAGCGCTGCTCGACCTTGCGCGGCAGATCAGGGGGGGCACGGAGATGCCGAGGGACGTCTTGGCAGCCTTGGCATCGGCATTGGAGGGGATGACGCTCCCTCCGCCGGCCCCCATGCCGCCCGATGCTCCGGAACCAGCGCCCCCGGCGTCGGACGTGATGCAGGACGATTCCGAGACCCCGCAGCCTGCTGCTGGAAACTCGGGGCCTTCGCGGAGGCTGCACGGGAAGACCATCGTGGAGACGCCGTCCCCTCCGTGGCCACGCCTCCGTGGCCACGCCTGGGACGTGAGTGGCCGTGCCGTGCTATGTCTAGATACGCTATTGCAGCATTATCCTAGTTTTGGGCCGGGGTTGAGGCCACGAGAATTGATTTCAAATCATAGTGCAATTCATCCTCCAGCTCAGGGGTGGGCGGAGCAGTCTTGCATCGGAGCATGTCGTTTGACTCATCTTACTTCCTCTACTCGTGACTGGGATTCGTGTCTCGAGGTCGGCGTCAATTGTTTCCCCGCCGGGGCTTTCCAACAACAGACCTACAGTGTCTTCGATCGTAGCGTGGTGATGTCTTTGCTTCTTCCTTTCGGTCATGTTTTGTCGCAGTCTTTGCGCGGTGTCACGCTGATGGAAACCACAACCGCAGAACTTGCGACTACAGTTCGTTTTGTGCCGGGAACACCGCTGCGATCCATTCGCATTTATTTGGATGGATCGGGAGGGGGATCCCCAAACCAAGCCCGCGCCTCAACAGACGCGCCCCCTGTTCCAGCGTGGGGGTTTTGTGTACTAGGCGAGGGACTTGATGGAAGCATAATGTATCTGGGATCCGTATGCGGGCTTGTGGTTATTGATTGTGTTCATCCGCATTTTGTCGGGGCAGTCCAGGATGACGCCTCGATGTCATGCGCGGCGGAAGCGTCCGCTATGATATGGGCACTCATTTGGGCGCTGAGGTCCAAGGACCTTTATGGACAGTGCGCAGTCAGGGTCTTTTCAGACAGCTTGTCAGTCGCTGATGTCGCTTTTCGGTTTGCCAGGGCTTCGTCTCAGCATTGTGTTTGTCGTGTTGTGCGTAATTTGGTCTTGCTTATGAACAATTTTGTTGATGTGTCCCATGCGCATGTGCACTCTCATTGCGGTAATCCTTGGAATGAGCTTGCCGATAAGTTGTGCGACGCAGCAGGTCATGGATCCGCGCGCCCAGGCATCAGGGGCGACATTATTTTCGCGGAGTTTTCTTTTCCAGCCAACCCAAGCGGAAATGATGTGGACTGGCTCTTTCTCGGGGGGTCGTGTGCCCAAGGGAAGGAGGAGTACCCCGCTGATTTGCACGAGGTTGGATCCATGCACTTGGGCAGTATCGAGATTGATAGATATTTGCCCGGGCCGGTCATTGCCGAGCGGATCGATTCGGATCCCAGCCGGCCATTGGACAGCGCACCGATCACAGCATGTGGGTTGCGACTCTTTGGTCACAATGCCTTAACTCTTAGGGCGCATGCGGAGTTTGAAGTTGCCTTGGCGCAGCTTGAGTCTCGGAAGTTTCACGTCGCGGATTTGCAGGGGTCTCGCAGCAAAGTCACGGGGGGGAAGATGGTGGAGGGCAGCATCGGCGGAAAGAAATCCATTGTGATTCAGAGCGCTGGGTTGTCCACTATCTATGGGTCACTTGGGTGTTCCATTATTTTGTCAGCGGCTCGTCCTTTTTTTCGCGCAAGGAAATCACAGGATGTTCATTCGCATCGATGACGTTGTCATTCATCATGCTTGTCCAAGGGCGTTGGTTGTAATCGCATCAACGGCCGCGCGTGGATTTGCTGTTGCTTCGGTGCATGCGCCGCATCAGAAACACCGGGAGTGCATGCCTTGGTGGAAGGAGGCTGGGACGCTACTGCCACTAGCGTTGCGGACGCCCCCAGCGTCAGTGATGATGGATGCGAACATCACTGCATCGGCCTGGTCCTTCACGCCCCTCGTGGGTGGGGGCCGCGAGGCTTTGCCGAGTAATGCGGTCAATTCGTTTGTTTTCGAGCAGTGGATGTCTGACCGTGGACTCTGGCGCCCCGCTGCGCGGCCGGGCACGCGGGCAGGAGGGGCGGCCCATCGCGCATATATAGGACATGGATGTGCGACCATGAATGATTACATTGTTTTGTCTTGTAATGTTGGATGCGTTGATGGTTCATATACCGTGGATGATGTATATGACGCGGCAAATGAGCGCGATGATCACCTCATGATGTGCACCCGCGTCAAGATGCAGCCTAATTTTTCACGCTCGATGCTGCGGCGCCGGCTGGCGCCGCGCGACAGGCGTGGCCCGGAAGACCCAATGAAGGTGCATCGTTTTAGGCAGCTGCTCGCGGAGTTGCCGCCAGCCCCTTTCAATGTTGATCCCACTTCCCATTGCTTTATCAGGCAATCCCAAGTGCAAGACGCGGCGGTGCAAGCTTTCCCGAAGCCCATGCATGTGAAGCGCAATGCCGCACTAAGCCAGGGCGCGCTTGACCTTGTCTTGCGGAGAGGTGCGCTTAGGAAACGGTTTCGGTCACTCGGCAAGGACATTGCGCATTTGCTTGATAAAACAGTGCGCCATGTCGTCTTCCGGGCCTGGGCGGCTGCAGCAGGAGGGGGGCCGGCGCCGCTGGTGGATTGTAGCAGTTTTTTTTGGGGCGCCTGTCTCAACAGGAGTTTTTGTGGCGCGGTCATTGACGAATTGTCGAATGAACTCAGAGAAGCTCTTGACAAAGATGCTGCCGATTTTGCGGAGCGGAAGCGGCTTGAGTTGGAAAGTGCAGCGGCCAATGTGTCGATGCGGCGCATGTTCCATGTGCTGAAGCCACTCTATAAGCCCGCCCGGCAGTCGGCAGCATGCGTGGAGAAAGCAGATGGCACTGTCGCGTTGTCAGCCTCTGAAGCAATGCGCGAAATTGCCGGGCATTTTGCCATGTTGTTGCAAGGTAGCCACATTGCCATGCGTGACTTGATAGAGAAAGATCGGATTGACAACATCGTCGTTGCAGATCGCACAGTTGACGCAATTGACTTCGGCCTCGCCCCGAGCATTTCGGAGGTTGCTTGCATGTTTGCACACATGAGGCCCATGGTTGGAATATATGAAGATTGCAATTGGTCCGAACTGTTCAAGGCTGCGCCTCTCGAGACTGACTGCCCGGTTGTTCCGCCCGCTCGTCTCTAAGTCAGTTGTTTCTTTGCAGCCGCCTTTGCAGTGGAAAGGGGGGCATCTGTTTGAGATATACAAAGGGAAAGGGGCTATGACCGAGATCCCGTCTTAGAGGGGCGCGACCATTTGCGAGGCGGCGTCCAAGTCGCTGTCCCTCCACATGCGGTCACGTGGGATGCCCGCCCTTGCAGCGACGAGTTCAAACCTGCAGTATGGAGGTGGTCTCAACGGAGGGTCAACGGAGTTTGCCCACCTGTACATGGTGGCGTGCATGGACGTTGCCAGGGCTAAGAAGCTATCCTTTGGTGCTTTGTTCGTTGACTTGCAAACGACATTTGCTAGCATTGCGAGGCTTCTTGCTTTTCCCGCGCCGCCGGCGTCAATGGATGCATTTGTCGCCAGACTCTTGGCTGCAGGATTTTCTGCCGAGGGCGCCGCGGAAATCGTTGAGGGCCTCTGTGCCTACGAGCATTGGACCGCGAGCGGAGGCACGACGCATTATTTCGCGATGCTGAGTAAGTTGCACAGACAGTCCTGGTTCGCTATGGAAGGCGTCGCAGGGTGCGTGCAGACTACATCCGGGAGTCTTGCTGGTAATGCTCTTGGGGACTTTGTGTTCCTCCTCGCCGTTAGCCGCGTGGTCCGCGCTGTCGAGTTGCGCCTTGCTGCTGCCGGTTTGCTGTTCGAACTCCCAGCGGAACCGTTGATCCCCGGGTTTGGCGTTGAGCCGGCGAACGGGCGGCCTGCGGAGCCAGTGCAACTTGGCGCAGCCGGTTATATGGATGATGTCGTCCAGCCATTGTTTGGTCAGGCTTGCGAGATCGCGGGTAAAATGAAGGCGTGCGCCGCCATTTTTGATGATTTTTTCTCCATGTATGGTTTACGCATCAATTTCAAACGGGGCAAGACGGAATCATTATTCCGTTTCGTTGGCCCTGGTTCTGGCGAGGCGCAGCGGCAGCTGTTCGGCGATGCCCGGGGCTTCATAAGATTCGAGACTCGCGGCGTGCAGCGGCAGCTGGTTGCCGCGGCCCAGTGCAAGCACGTTGGCACGCTTACGTGTTCCACGGGTTCGATGCACCCAGAGATCACAGCCAAAGTCGGCGCGTTGAGAGGAGTTTTCCAGCAATTGCGCTACACAGTGCTGCAGCGAAGTTCTGTTCCTGTTGAAACGCGGCTTGCCTTATGTCAATGGGGTGGTGTTCGCGCGTGGTCTGCGCCAGGCGAGCACATGGCCCCAGTTGCGCGCTGCTGAGCTGACGAGAGTCCACACAGCTGTGATGCAGGTGTATTCATCCGTGATGAAAGGAGCCTCGACGGACCCTCGTTGCCCGTCTCACGCATCCATTTCTGAGCATGAGTGTTTCATCGCACCTGCGACTATGATCTTGTGCATGCGGGTGGGGCTTTTCAGCAGATAGTGTGTTTGCAGGCCCCGCGTGCTCTGTGCTTTGCGCTGTGCTTCACCATTGGGGTACGCAGGTCTTGGATGCATGCCGTTTCTGCTGATTCTACAGGCTTACGCCACATCCGCCGACCCCTTGTGTGACTGTTGCGAGGCCAGGAGTTTCTGGCCAGCGGCGTCTTGTGTGAGGGTGCGGTGTCGCGCGCGGGTGGTGGCAGATACGTAGGGGGTCCAAATGTTTGCGTGATGCCGGTGGTCTGGGGCGTGTTTTGCGAGCGCCTTGCGTGCTGTGCACCCGGGTGCGGGGTGTCCTTCTGGGAGGTCGGCCTTTCGACCCTCAACCAAGTGGAGGAGCACCGGAAGACGAAAGGAGCAAGAGTAGCGTGCAGAAGCTGTGATCAGCGAAGCATCACCGCGAAAGATGTGGCAGATGAGTCGAAACGGGTGAAGAGGCTGTTGACGTTCGCAGCGCGCACGAAACAGTTCGTGTGCGCGAAGTGTTTTAAAGCGGGACGAGCGCCGCGGAGAGACCCTCCGAAACGCCCGGCGGAACCAAGTGACGAGCATTGCGACAAGACACGGAAGTTGCGAGGAATCTGACCGCTGGGGACGGGATGGATAAGGGGGACGTGGAGGAGGGAGGATGGGGGAGCAGCCAAAGGCGGAGAAGGTGAAAAGTGAGCCGGTGGAGGGAATACGAGACAGAAAGCTGAGAGGGGAGACGGGAGGAGGGGGCGGAAGAGGAGGATGAGAAGGAGCAGGAGAACACGACGAGGACGACAATGGCGGCGACAGACTCGACGGCGTAGGCTGGGCACCTTTTTGGAGCCATCTTGGGGGCTTCGTTGACCGTTGTGGGAGCCTCTGGCGCCGTCGTCGTGAGAATCCTCTCGGGGGCCTGCGGGAGGCAGTTTGGAGGCTTCTGGGGAGCTGTTTTGGGGCAGCTTGGGGCTTTTTTTGGGCTTGTTGGGGGCCTCTTGGGGGCTTCTTGGAGCCTCTTGGAGGCCTCTTGGGGCCTCCTTGGCGCCTTTTGGGGCGGAAGGCTAGAATTTTAGGTTCGTGGTCCCCGTCTGGAGCCTTTCTTGGGCCCCTCTGTGGGCCCTCTTGGACTGTCTGAAGGCCCTCTTGAGCCGTTTTGAGGCGCTCTTGGGCCGTGTTGGGGCCCACTTGGGAGCCTCTCGGGTCGTCTTGATGCCGTCTTGGGGGCTTCTTTCGCCGTCTTGGAGCGTCGGAAGCCCGAAAAAACGCGAAGGCCAAAAACGTTGAAAAAACCAATGGAAATCGACGATTTTGGCCTCTTGGGGCCATCTTGGGAGGCGTCTTGGAAGCTTCTTGGAGCGTCTTGGAGGCATCTGGGGCCATCTGGAGGCCATCTTGACCGTCTTCGAGTGTTTTTTCGGCGACTCGGGGCCCTCTTGGACCGTCTGCAGAGCTTCTTGGGAGCCTCTTCGCTCGTTTGCGGCCCCCCCCAGCAGACTCTCTGGAGCGGATGACCCCCCCCGGACCGCGCCGGCGGATCCCGGGGAATCCGGCCGGACCCCCCCCCCCCCCCCTCCAAAACGACCGGACCAGGCTCCGGGGGGAGGGGTTTGGGGAGGGGGGAAGCATCTCACACGCCGATGACCCCAAGGGGTCGGCGGATTTGGACTTATTGGCTTCGCGTTCTGATTCGTTTTCAGAGTACGCAACCAAGCCCATACGAGAATGGGTTCCAGCGATCCGCTCCAATCCGAAACGCTTCAGAGCGGCGTTGAAAGACGCCAGGCAAGAACGTGCGTTTAATGAGGTGAGGACGTGGGCGAAAACCCGGCGCATGGCCGAAGTGAACCGCATTTTCTCGTGCCACTCTTGTTCGTACACATGCGACTCGAGACAGAAATTGGCCACCCATGCTTTCTCAGTGCATGGTGTGAGGCGCCGCACGCGCGACCTGATTGATATCAACCATTGTCCTGCATGTATGCAGTTTTTTCCACACCCGCGTGAGAGTGGTGACCCATGTGGAGGAACGTTCTGAAAAATGCCGCCCTGTCGTCATGGCGACCCTCAGCAAATTGCCGGAGCATGTCGTTGCCGACCTCGATCGGAAAGACGCCAGAGACACGCGAGCGAGCCAGAAAGGGCCAGAAGCCACACCACGCTGATGCTCCGGTCAGCCAGTTGGAGGGCCCGTTGACTTGGGAAGCGTCTGAAGCTGGTCTGAGCCATAAGTCCCCCCTCTTGTCCCTCTTTCTCCTTTGAGCCGCGGGGTGCTGTTACGACGCTGACGTCCTCTTAAGGAGGGTCCGCCCATGTACTGTCCTTGTCCTTGTGCCTCCACCTTGCGTGCATGTGTCTCTTCACACGCACGTTCCAAGCTGCTCGGACACGAAACGACACGAGGAGGAGGAGGAGGAGAAGGATGAAGAGGGAGGAGAAGGAGGATAATAATGAGGAGGAGGAGGAGGAAGGGGAGGGCCCGTAACCATTTTGGCTCGAACCGCTCTTGCCTCCCTGCGACCTGGAGCCCCCGCCCCCGGGGCGGGGGCAGCAGCGGGGCAAGGAGTGTGAAGTGAACATCCACGGAAAGGTGGTCATCCACCTGCGGGTGAACATCCGGGATAGGGTGACCACCCACCAGTTGTCGAATGAAAAGCTGGACAGCAACAAGATCAGCTACGAGACTTACCCACCACGGTGGGAACTCACGGGCATAGAGGACGAACATATGCAGATTTCAAGGGAAAGGACTACCGCGTCCGACGAGGCCTACAACCACACTTCAACGACATCATGACCATCGCTACGACCTCATTCTGACTGGACGACCTGCGCAACATGCAGCCTGAGGACGACTTGCGTAACAGTCAACACACATACGAGAAAGAGCTGCGTAACAGACAACCCCAGGACGACCAGCGCAATAACGACACCTAGTACGCCACCAAGACCGACGCCAGGAACGGCGTGACCGAGCAGCCCGAAAGGGTTACCAAGTACGTCGTCGCGGAGGCACCCGTGGACAACGTCCGCGCCGCCGACGACGAGTACGACCTCGGCCGCGCCGCCTTCCACGAGCACTATTACGACAGTTTTCTCGATAACGACTTGTACTCTGACGACCCCGAGCATTACGACGGGCCGCATCGTTACGACAACCGCCAGGATTACAAGGACACGCGGAGTAGGAACGCTACGACGCGGCAGCCGACGACTCCGATTCGGACCTCCTGGACTACGAGGAGAGCCTGCCCTTGGATCTGCTACAGCCACCTGCAGGGTTACCTGGGCCACACGGTTTTCGGGCACCACGAGCTACAAACTGACTTACGAGGACCACACGCCACCAGAAGAGTTTCAAGACCCACACGCCGAGCTACGAGACCCACCAGCAAAGCCACGAGAGTCACGAGCTGAGTTGCGAAGGCCGCGAGCTGAGCCACGAGAAACAGGGTTACGAGGGCCACGTGGAAAGCGATTTGGTCCACAACCTAGGCTTCGAGGG